CTGGATTTGAGTAAATGTCTTCAAGGATAAATGTATCACCTCTTTTATGAATTCAAATATATAGAATTTATATTAATATATATTTTAGTGATGCTTTGAACAGTGTATTTTATGTGACTTTTTATATGACAAATCATTTCTTAAAGAATTGCAGATCATCAGATAAGTTGACATGTAAGATATTCACCATCAATATTGTATTGCCTTCATTTATTGCCTTCATTGCACAATGCCAGAAGTTTACTCTACAAGTTAGTAGAAATGGGGAGTTAATTAAAATAAATATTTATGAAAGATTTATAGTACACTACTCTATCATCCTCTGTGGGTAGAAATGAAGCCTCTTTGCTCATCTTTTTTAGCCTTCGTAAAACGAGGATTCCTTGGTATTTACTGAGTCCCAATACCCTGTTACGACTTGTGCTAGGTACTGTACCCCAAAATTAGACACATAGCCAGCCATGGAGTCAATTACAAAGAATATGACCTACTAGATGTAATAGAAATATTCCACAGCACTTTCGAGACTGCATGTCTTTACAGGAACAGAATGGCTGCTGTGGCAGAACCACTGGCCTCTCCATTCGTATCTGATGCCACCAGAACTAGGGCCTGTAAGGGATGCCAAACATTCCTATGGCACAGACTTTTCGGGAATAGGAATCCTGGAGGCATAGTGGTTACCCATTGGGCTACTAACCTCAAGGTCAGCAGTTCGAAGCTACCAGCTGCTCTGAGTGAAAAAGATTACACTTTCTATTCCTGTAAAGAATTACAATCTTGGAAACCCATAGGGACAGCTCTACCCTGTCCAATAAAGCCACGCTGAGTTGGAATCAACTCAGTGGCAATGAGTGAGGAGAAGAAATCAAGAACCCCTGATGGCACTGCTACCCTCAAGAGGAGTGGCTCAGGCCTCATGGTAGCTCTGGGGACAAAGATGAGGCTGGTAGTCCCTGTAAAGGTGTACAATTGGCCTCAGAAACCCTATATAGGGTTTCTAGGGTGCTGAATCAACCGGATGGCAGTGTTTTTATTTGGGAGGTGGGGGGAGAGAAGGGGGGATTAGTAAGGAAGTGAGGAAAGGCTGGTCAGTAGGAGAAAGAAGTACTATATTTGAATTCCTAAAGTGAGAATTTAAATGCTACATGAGTTAACCGCTATTTGAGTTAAAACAGAGTTTATGACCATTTAAAAGGAGAAATCAGGAAATTAAGACCAGATTTAGGAAGTGAACCTTGTTTGACTAGTTTGTGGAGCAGACTCTTCTAAGGAAAGGTATCCATAAATTCCCAAAGTTACTTGGTCTACCAAAAACTACTCAGCGTCCCCCTAGCAATGACAAGCTTTTGAACGGTGGTTCATAATCCAAGATAGAGTGCAGGTATCTGCCTTGCAGGCCCTCGTCCCTGCATAGTTCCACTGCCCCCAAGGGGGAGGTACCCACACTTTGGGAAACACTGAACATTTTAGGGAAAATGAAAGAGGGAAGTGGCCTGTTTGGGTAACATTCAGAGATCTACTTTCCCCACGGAAACTGGAAAAAGGTGGGGAGAAGTGGTGGACTCATGGATTCCCTATTTTCCAGATGCAGCTTCATTTTATTTATTATAAATTTATCCTCATCCGAATAGCAAACAGCAAGTGCTGACTTGGAGATGGAATCCCAAGGCCCCAGGCACCGTGTCCAGTTCAATAGAACAGAATTTTTCAATTTGATGAATCCTATGAACTAGCCTTGGTAGCATACTACATTAAGTGTTGGGCTGCTACCTGCAAGCTTGGAAGTTCAAACCCGCCAGCCACTCTGTGGGAAACGGGGGAGTTTGCCTGCTCCCATAAACATGTAGTCACAGAAATCCTAAGCAGCAGTTCTGCTCTGTCTGGAGGGTAAGTATGAGTCAGTGGCAGTGAATTTGCTTTAATGTTGGATTACAGACCTGGGAGTCCATGGATGATGACAACAGTTAATGTACTTAATTCTTCTTATTATTTAAAAAATAATTTTATTGGGGGCTTGTACAACTCTCATCACAATCCATACCTACATCCACCATCCATCCATCGTGTCAAGCACAATTGTACATTTGTTGCCATCATCATTCTCAAAACATTTTCTTTCTACTTAAGCCCTTGGTATCAGCTCCTCATTTTCCCCCCTCCCTCCTCCACTCACCCTCCCTCCTGAACCCTTGGTAATTTATAAATTATTTTTTCATGTGCTACACTGTCCGATGTCTCCCCTCACCCACTTTTCTGTTGTCCGTCTCCAAGGGACAATGTAGATCATTGTGATCTAGCCCCTTTCTCCCCAACCTTCCCCTTACTCCGTGGTATCGCTACTCTCATTAATGGTCCTGAGGTGTTTATCTGTCCTGGATTCCCTGTGTTTCCAGCTCTTATCTGTACCAGTGTACATGCTCTGGTCTAGCTGGATTTGTAAGGTAGAATTGGGATCATGATAGTGAGGGAAAGAAAGCATTAAAGAACTAGAGGAAACTTGTATGTTTTATTGGTGCTATACCGCACCCTGACTGGCTCATCGCTTACTGGAGACCCTTCTGTAAGGGGATGTCCAGTTGCCTATAGATGGGCTTTGGGTCTCCACTCCACAGTCCCTCTAATTCACAATGATATGTTTTTTTTTGTTCTTTGATGCCTGATACCTGATCCTATTGACACCTCATGATCACACAGGCTGATGTGCTTCTTCCATGTGGGCTTTGGTGCTTCTCAGGTAGATGGCCACTTGCATATCATCAGTTTTCTTCACCACATTTGCTGATGCACCCGCTTTGTTTTCAGCGATCATGTAGGGAAGGTGAGCATCATGGAATGCCAGTTTGATGGGACAAAATGCTCTTGCATTGAGGGAGTACTTAAGTAGAGACCCAATATCCATCTGCTACTTTAACACTAAACCTATAAATATATGCACATAGATCTATTTCCCCATCGTCATACATATATTTACATATGCACATGCCTGTGTTTAGACCTCTATAAATGCCCTTTACTTCCTAGTTCTTTCCTCTATTTCCTTTTACTTTCCCCTTGTCCCACTATCATGCTCAGCCTTCATTTGGGTATCAGTAATTCCTTTCGGTTACATTGCCCTTGATCAAGTCCTACCAGGCCTCCTACACCCTCCTGGCCATCAGTTTTAGATCACTTGTTGTTCCCTTTCCCTGGGTTTGTTAACACCCACTTCCTTTTCCCCGCCTTCCCCTCTCCCATGTCCCCTCAGAAACCATTGTTCCCGTTGTTTTCTCCTCCAGCTTGTTTATCCTGCCTATCTTATCTAGATAGACCTGCCATGTGCTTGATTCTAATGAAAAGGTTGGAGGTTCGAGTCCAATTAGGAGTGCCTTGAAGGAGCCCCTGGTAGGTGTAGTGGTTATGGGTTAGGCTATGATTTGCATGGTTGATAGTTCAGAACAACCAGCAGCTCGGCAGGAGGGAGACTGGGCTTTCTATACTCACAGTCTCAGAAACCCACAGGGGAATCGTATGACTCACATTGTCTTGATGGCAGTGAGAGAGGTGACTCAAAAGTAATGTCTGGCAATCGATGCAAAATCAAGCCATTGAAAAGCCTTTTAGAGCAGTTTTACCCTTACCCTAGAGTTACTGTAACTTGGGACTCAATCAACTACTGGAATTAAAAAAAAAAAAAAAATCCCAGACATACTGTGTCAGAAACGTGAGGGTGGGACCCAGCACTCTGTTTCTACAAACCTTGGTGTGTAGCAGTTGTGAGTTGGGCTGCAATCTACAAGGTCTGCCGTTCAAAAACTACTACCCGCTCCTCTAGAGAAAGACGAGGTGTTTTACCCTTGTAAACAGTCTCAAACTCACAGAGGGCAGTTCTAATATTTTTTAATATATATATATATTTTTAGAGTCACTATGAGTTAGCATAGACTTGATGGCAGTAAGTTTGGTTTTCCAAGGTGATTACAATGTTTCCTAAAACATCTTTTAAATCAATGGTTTTCAGAGTTGCACACATGAGTTATTTGTGGGCGTTTAAAAATACTGATGCCTGGATTTCACTCCTAACAATGCTAATGGATTGGCATGTGCTGTGGGATGGGCACGGGCCGTCCCAGGTGACCACCACTAAACCACTTCCTAAGGTAAGTGCTGTAACTTTGATAGGTTATACTTGTGTCTAAAGGAAAGTGTATCCACTACCATCTAGTGGATTCTGACACACAGCAACTCCATGTAGGGTTTCCGCGGCTGTGAATCTTCATGGGTAGCTGTCCAATGCTGACTCCACAGCATGACCTTGCTGAAACCAACCAGCCTCACGCCATTGACTCAGAGTGACCCTCTAGGGCAGAGTAGAACTGCCCCTGTGCATTTCTGGAACTAACACTTCACAGGAGTAGAAAACCTCCTTTCTCCTGCAGAGGCGGGTGGCTTCAAAATGCTAATATAGCGAGCAGCAGCCCCACCTGTAACTCACTATGCAACCCTAGACTACCAGGTGTCCTCAAACTATGGCCCGCGGACCACATGCGGCCCAACAAGGACATGTATCCGGCCCGCTGGGTGTTTCTGCCCCATTTGTTTTATTTTTACTTCAAAATAAGCTACGTGCAGTGTGCATAGGAATTTGTTCATAGTTGTGTTTTTTTTAAAACTATAGTCCGACCCTCCAACGGGTCTGAAGGACAGTGAACTGGCCCCCTGTTTACAAAGTTTGGGGACCCCTGACAGACAAATAGGGAAAAAGGAATCACGGGCTACGTTGTTCCAGGCGTCCAGCTTCGGGCATCTTCCGTCGGGCTTCCATCGCCGCCATTGAGTCAGAGCGGGCTCCCAGGAAGCCGGAGAGCTTCCAAGACTGTCCGCGGGAGGAGAAAGCCCGGTCTTTCTCCCGCGGAGCGGCTCGCGGATTCCAGCTGTCACGGCGAAAGCCGGGCAAAGCCCCGCGAGTCGGCTTCAGCGGGGCTGGGGGGGCGGGGCGGAGGCGGGGGGGCGGGGCGCGCATGCGCGGGCCGCACGCGGGAGCCACGCTCCTCGTAACGGTCTCGCGCTGCCCCTCCCCCACCGGAAGTGGGCGGCCTCGCGGCGGGAGGAGCCGCCGGCCGGAGCGTGGCGTCTGCGGGCCCGGGGCGCCGCGCTGCGAGGGGCTCGGCCCCGCCTCACCGCGCTATGGCGACGTCGAAGGCTCGGTCCGCGGCGCGACTGCTCCTGGGGTCCGCGCCGCTG